CCCCCCGCCCCGGCCCAGCCTCCCCGAGTCTTGGTGTTACAATAATTAACAGTGCCCAGAAAAGTGAAGTAGTAACCAGAAAGACTTTCCAGCGCTGAAGAATTGCTTTGCTGCCTTGAGCTTTGGAATGAATCCATGCTTTTTATGTAATATTTCACTAAGGTGCTTTTTGTTGCTGGTGGGATTTTTTTTTTTCCCCTTTCCCTTTCCCTTTTTTTTCCAGCCTGTTTCCTTCAAGGCAGTTGCCATGGGTTTCCCTGTCTTGTCCTAAGCTTTTGAAAATACATATCCAGAAGACTTTAAAGAAAACAAAAGTAGATAAAAAAATGTAAAACACTTACCGATCAAACTTCCAGGATTTAGAGATTTTTTTTTAATTTTTGATTTTAATAAGGTGACAGGGGGGAAAAAGCATGTTCTCAACTCCAGCGAAACGATCCATGTTAAGATTTTCCTTTGCACTGACTCCACTAAGCCCCGCTCTCCACTAGTCTATTATTTTCACCAAAATATATGAAAATTTATGCAAATGAAAATCAGCACTAACTGTTCTCCCCTTGTTATACTTTGGATTTTTTTCCAGACAAAACAATCTCACTCTGCAAGGGAGGGGGTGGGAAGAGTTGGGGAACGAAGTTGGTTGTTTGTTTTTCGTTGGGATATTTTCTAAAATAAAAGACCTTACTCCAGCTTGAGCTTTATTTTTTGTTGTCGCTGTTATGAGGGTGTACGGTGGTTTGGGTTTTTTTTATTTTTATTTTGGGGGGATTTCTCCACCCCCCCCCCACACACACACCTTCCTTTTTTATTAAGAAAGTAGATCTGTTTGCAGAGGCGCTATCACGTTTCATCAGGCCACCTGAGACGGCTTTTGAAAGCGTGTACTGTGAAATTCATAGCAGTAATTTAGACAAAATCCTCACTGTATATTAATGAAAGACGGCCCCATGGCACCGTTCCTATCCTCCCCATTCAGTGTAAACAAAACCACGAGACTCACTCGGTTTTTGAGCCTGATCCAAGCAAAATCGGCTGGAAAGGAAAACATGGGGTTCTGGCACTGACTATTCAAACGTCTGCACCTGGAGATCTCAGATTTATTCAATGAAATCTGTGTTGGATCTTTTATATATAAAAAAAGAAACCTTTGGAGGACGCATGGGAACAAATATATATACCTATATATATGCGTACACATATATATATATATATATATACACATATATCTATATATACATATATAAAATTATTATGTTTGGTGTTTAGTTACCAGCGCCCTTAAGATCCGTACGCTTCACTTGAATGTTTTTTCTAACCCGACCTGCCATGGTATTTTGTGCCGTGCCAGCCGGGGGCTGGAGGGAGCCCCGAGCTCCGGCTGCCGAGCACGGCGGGAGCGGGACGGCGTGGAGGGCGCTGCCAGCGGGACGCAGCTCACCGCCTCCCAGGGCCGGGTTATTCAGCGTGCGGAGGAGGGAGCGGGGCGGGCAGGGCCAGGCGGGGGAAGGACGCTGCCCATTCTCATGCCCGCACCGCGCGTGTTTTCTTCGCGCGGCCCCCGCCACCCGGGGAGCGCGCGTGGGACGCCGCTAAGCGGCGAAGCGGTCACCGGCAGCGCCGTGTCCCCTCCGTGTCCGAGCGGTGTTATTGCACCGGCAGTCCCCGAGGAGCGTTCAATTTGCCCTTGTTTTTGTTGCCACTTTCTCTTTCTCCGTGGTTCACTGAGGTTGCCTGCGCTCAGTGTTTCCGCTCGGTCGCATCTCTCCCCCGCGCCCCCCGCCTTCCCCCGCCCCCCTTAACTCTTTCCGCTGGACGGGAAATAATACAGCGTTTCATGCCGCGGGGCTGGCTCCCTGCGAGTAGACCGCAGCGAGCAGGGCAAGCCCGGACGCCGGCTCTCCTTGCCACCTCCCCCGCCGACGGGGCGGCCCTTCTCCGGCACTACCGGGCCAGCCCCCCGGCGTGACGGCTGCGGACGGGCTGCCGGGGTCTGGGACGCACCCCGGGGTGCGGGGGCGGACAAAGGGGGGAGGAGGGGGCGGGCGGGGGGCGGGCGCCTCCGGGGCTGAACGCAGGGGGGGCCAGCTCCTAATGCCGGTACGGGCACTGCCGGCGGGAGAGAGGCGGGTGCGTGTGCCCGGTGGTGACACTTTCGCACAAACGCCTTTCTGAATCCAGCCCGGTGCTGGGCTCGTTATTATTGTCGTTATTACTGTTGTTATTAATTATTACCGCCCCCGCTCGCCCCTGCCCGAGAGGAGACGGCGGCGGGAGAGCTCCGAGATGCGTGTGTCCACCGGGCAGGAAGAGTTAAGAGGCGGAGGGAGGGAGGCAGGGAGGGATGGAGGGAGGAGGAAGGAAGAAGGGGAGAGGGAGGAGGGATAGAGGCAAAGGGGGGGCAACTTCCATCTCCGACGCCACTTCGCCTAAATTAAAAAGCAGCCAATCGGAACGGCCGGAAGGGGGGCCGCGCGGCCGGCGGCGCGCTGTCCGTCACAGGGCGCGCAGCCAATCGGCGGGGGCGGCGGCGGCCGCTTCCTCGCGGCGGGGCCGGGCGCTGGCGGCGCGGGCGGCGGCGGCGGGAGGGAGGAGAGGGAGGGACGGACGGACGGACGGGAGGGGGGAGGGAGGAGGGAGGGCGCGGGCACGGCCCGGGAGAAGGAGGCGGGGAGAGGCGAGCGGCGGGACTCCGGCACCGCCAGTGCGCGCTGCCAGCCCGGCAGCCAACTTCCCCGCTGGAGTTAGTGTATAAAGGATACCATATATGCACACACACATACACACACCTCTCCACCAAGGCGCTCCTCCTCCGCCTCCTCCCTCGACCAACTGCTGGAATTAAAATAAAAAGCAAAACAAACACAACCAAAAAAAAAAAAAAAAAAAGACAACAAACCAAGCGAGAGAGAGAGCGGGAGAGGGAAAGAAACAATTCGCGAGGTAACGAGAAAATTCAACTTTTTAAATTTCTTTTTTACTTTTTTTTTTTCCGACCGCCTAAAGGAAAGGTAGAGAGAAAAATATGTCTTATCCAGAGCGTGACTCTAGCAAGAAGGCTCCGGCAGGACTCTTGTTTCAAAGGGGACAAAGTGCTTCAGCAACAGCACAACTTTGAGAAATGCATCATCACCACCATCACCACCATCATCATCACAGGAAGTTTTCTTAGGACACCAACAAAACTTGCAAATAACAGAGCAAAAGGAGATCGAGGAACCGAGGAGAGAAAGACAGAGAGAGAGGCAGAAAAAGACGAAAATATACCCACACACAAAGCCTTAAAGGAAGAAGAAAAGGAAAAGTTTCGCTCTGAGAGGGGAAGGCTGAGAGGAGGAGATGTACTCCTAGGGGAGCGGAGGGGAGAAGGCACGGGGGCTTTTTGATCCCCCCACCCCCCTTTTTTCGCTTTTTAGCCTTTGTTTGGTTTCCTCCCTGCGAGCAGCAAACCCGGGCGAGAAGAAGGCGGAGGAAAACTACATGTACAGCTAAATATTTCTCTTTTTTTGGAAAAAAAAAAAAGAAAGGCTAAAAAAATATAAAAGGCGAAGCGAGAGCCGGCGACCGCAACGAGCGCGCCGCGGAGCGGAGGCAGGACGGCCGGCGGACGGGCGGAGGAGAGCGCGCAGCGGAGCGCTAGCAGGTGAACCCCGCGCCCCGGCGCCCCGGCGAGGCTGGGAAGGCGGCGGCGGCGGCGGCGGCGCGGGCGGCGGCCCCGGCAGCGGCCCCGGCAGCGCCGGGCAAGGGCGCTCGCGGCGGGCGCCCAGCAGCCGGCGGCGGCGGCGCAGCGGCGGCTGCGGCGCGGCGGGGGCGAGCGGCGGGCGGCGGGCGCGGGATGGCCGCGGCCACCTCTAACCCCTACCTCCCCGGCAACGGCATCCTGGCGGCCGGCTCCATCGTCCACGCGGACTCGGGCGGCGGCGGCGGCGGCGGCGGCGGCGGCATGCAGCCGGGGAGCGTGGCCGTCACCTCGGTGGCGGGCGGCTACCGCGGCGACCCGGCGGCCAAGATGGTCCAGAGCGACTTCATGCCGGGCGCCATGGCCGCCAGCAACGGCGGCCATATGCTGAGCCATGCCCACCAGTGGGTGACAGCCCTGCCCCACGCCGCCGCCGCCGCCGCCGCCGCCGCCGCCGCTGCCGCCGAAGCGGGCTCGCCCTGGTCCGGCAGCCCCGTGGGCATGACGGGCAGCCCCCAGCAGCCGCCGCCGCCGCCCGACGTCAAGGGCAGCGGCGGACGCGACGACCTGCACTCGGGCGCGGCGCTGCACCACCGGCCGCCCCACCTGGGCCCCCCGCACCAGGGGCACCCGGCGGCCTGGGGGGCGGCGGCGGCCGCCCACCTACCCTCCATGGCCGGCGGGCAGCAGCAGCAGCAGTCGCTCCTCTACTCGCAGCCCGGGGGTTTCACGGTGAACGGCATGTTGAGCCCCCCCCCCGGCGGTCAGAGCCTGGTGCACCCGGGGCTCGTGCGCGGCGAGACGCCGGAGCTGGGCGAGCACCCCGGGCATCACCACCACCACCACCACCAGCACCCCGGGCACCACCCGCCGCACCACGGCGGCGTCAACAGCCACGACCCGCACTCGGACGAGGACACGCCGACCTCCGACGACCTGGAGCAGTTCGCCAAGCAGTTCAAGCAGCGGCGGATTAAACTGGGCTTCACCCAGGCCGACGTGGGGCTGGCGCTGGGCACCCTCTACGGCAACGTCTTCTCGCAGACCACCATCTGCCGCTTCGAGGCCCTGCAGCTCAGCTTCAAGAACATGTGCAAGCTGAAGCCTTTGTTGAACAAGTGGCTGGAGGAAGCCGACTCTTCCACGGGCAGTCCCACCAGCATCGACAAGATCGCCGCCCAGGGCAGGAAGAGGAAGAAGCGGACCTCCATCGAGGTGAGTGTCAAGGGGGCCTTGGAGAGCCACTTTCTGAAATGCCCCAAGCCCTCCGCCCAGGAGATTACGAACCTAGCGGACAGCCTGCAGCTGGAGAAGGAGGTGGTCAGGGTTTGGTTTTGCAATCGGAGGCAGAAAGAGAAACGGATGACCCCCCCGGGGATCCAGCAGCAGACCCCCGACGATGTCTACTCCCAGGTCGGCACCGTCAACTCCGACACGCCGCCCCCTCACCACGGACTGCAGACCAGCGTGCAGTGAGGGGCACCGCGGGCGGGCCGGGCAGCGCGGGGGCAGCGCGGGCCAGGCCGGGCCGGGCACCGCCGCCGGCACCGCCACCGGCTCCGGCACCGCCGCGCACAGCCGCACGCTCACACAGACACACACGCGCGCACACACACACACACACACGATCCAGGCTCGTTCAGACTGCTTGTGTTTATATATATATGGATATATGCGTGCATCTATATATATATAAGATCGATACCAATAGGGAGCGGTGGAGAAGGTCGATCCGAGCGAGAGCGTTTAGACCGTGTTAGGAAAATGGGGTGGAGATGCATAATGCACCAAAACTGCAGATGTGCCGGGGGGTTGGTTGGTTGGTTGAGGGGAAAGGGCTTGAGGGGTGGGCTTGGGCTTTTTTAATTTTATTTTTCTCCAAATTATCCCCTTTTCGCAGTAAGGAACACCACTGTCTGCGCTTCTTCTCTCCCCTCCTCCTCCCCCACCCTCCCCCCGCACTCTTCCCCCCATCCCCAAAAGGGCTCTCTTCTATGAATCACAGAAACTTTTTTTCTCCTTTCTGTCTCCCTCCTTTTTTTTTTTTTTTTTTTTTTTTTTTTCCCAATGGGAGCAGTCAAAAAAAGGGAAGCAGAAGAAAAATAATCTGGTTAATAAGAGGGTGCCTGCTGTATTCCAGCACCCTGTTTTTCTTGGCCAAACCGTAGAATTTTGGTGCAAGGCAGATATCCACTCTGGAAGCATATATATCTATATATTCTGCAAAATGAAAGGGTCCACTTTTTCCAGGAAAAAAATATGCACACAGCACTGAAAACAAGCAGGCTGAATAGGGAAGCAAATACATATATATATATTTATCTATATATATAGGTATAGCTATAGAACAAAAATATGGAAATAAATGCCCGCACGCGGAGAAAACTGACCCTGAAGAGAAAGGGGGGAGGGACAGACGCCAGGGGGAGGGTGAGAGAAGGAGAGGTTGTTGGTCCCTAAAGTTGGAGCTTTGTAGAAGGACTTTGCATGAATTAAAGGAACCAGGGAAAGAAAGGGAAATAATTTAGAGCTGTCAAAGTCCTGCTCCTGACGGCTGCCAATCATCATGGAAGAGTCATAAAAAAAATCCACTGCTAATATTTTTTTTATTAATATTTTTATTTTTTATTTCTGGACTGATTCAGATAAAGGGATTTAGAAGGACTGAGCATCTGCAGCTGCACTTATCTGAACTTCTCCTCTCCTAAATCCGTTGCCAACTTTGATTGAATGGGTGCTGTGGATGTGATTATATAATACTGCCATTTCCAAGCAGTGTTTTTGGTAGGTTTTAATAAACAGACTTTTCAAAAAGACGGCAATATAGAATTGTTAGATCCGTTGTTGATCTAAAAAAAAAAAAAATTTGCTTTATATTTTCATTAAATGACTTCTTTTAATATTTTATTCAGAATACCTATGAACTGCTGCAAAACGGTAATTTATTTTTTCCCCAGATCTTGTATTACGTGTTTTTTTCAGACGAGCACAAATCAAAATGAAATGAAAATATGGACAGTTGTTAGGTAATAAGGGTATCTTTTGATGTGATAATTTGATTGTAATTTAATTTGAGTAGTGATTCCGTAAGAGCTGATTGAGAAAATAAATTTGTTAGAATGAAATAGTCTGTGTCTGATGCATAAACACTGTGTCGAAACACAAAAGAAAAAAAGTTCTCTGAAGGGACATACTGCTAAAGTGAGAGAAATGCCGAGGGTCCGACCTGCCCGCGCTCCCCGGCAGTGCCCCCGCCTCACCCCTGCTGCTGTTTGCCCGGCGCGGGGCTCTCCCCTGCCCACTCTCCGCCGAGCCCGTGTCCGCGGTGCCTTCCATCAGCCCCGGGGACCCTGTGTCACCAGGAAGGACGGCGAGATTAGAGCTCATCAAATGCCACCTTCTCCCCGAAAGGGCTGTGGCGCCTCGGTTTAGGCTGGCACTCGGGCGCGGGCGATACCTGAGCGCGTCCTCAGGTCCCGCGTGGCCGCTGCTAAGAGGGATGTTTCCAAAAGTTCAGTCTTGTTTCCTCTCTTTCCAAACTGAGGCTAGACGGGGGGGAGGTGCCGGGGGGGGCGGGGGCGCAAAGAGGGAGAAGGGAGGTTGAGCTATAATTTATATTGACTCATTTTATGTATGTATTAATATTTGTATTTAATTTATCTTTATAATTTGAAGAAAAGCTACGTTTATTTTTTTTCTAGAATATATAGAATAATACTTTCAGCATCCTACGTGCGGTCTTCCTAGTTCACCGTTTCTGTTGTTGCTGTTGCTGTGGCTATTGTTGTTGTTTTAAGGTTTTTCTACGGGATGTGAAGTGGTGTAGTCTAGTTTTCTCCTCCACTTTGCCATAGCGCTGCCATGCCTTCTTTGCAAACACACGCGCGTGTCAGTAACGTTGGAGATGCCAATAGATGCACTAGCTGACCTGTCATATTTATCCACTAGAATTTATTGCAATGTAGGGACAAGTGAATGACCGCCTCAACTCTCTTCATTTTGCAGCGGGGAGGTTGTGGGAAGTAGAGAGCTGCATCTAATGCATCCACCCGCCCCCACTGATAGTCTGCTGGAGAATAAGGTTTTCTTTTATGATCCAGCTCGTCTGTGGCTCCTTCCTCACCTTCCTCTTCCTCCCCTCCTCTGCGCCCCCTCCCTCCTGCCTTGCTTCTCTACGAGCTATTGAGGCAGGGGTTAAACCTCCAGAAAACTGCTGTAGGAACAACAAGCATTTCTTCCTTTCAGATAGGCCTTGTGTCAGTCCATAAATCAAAGCCAACCTGGGAGCCGGGCACCGGGATGCATTATTTTAACACCAGCTCGTAGTAAATATCACCGTCGGTTTGATTTGTGAAATCCGAAAGGCCCTACTGACACGGAGGAAATAAGAGGGGGGGTGGGGGAAGAAGCCAACCCAACAAAGGGAAAGAGAACCCGAAGGGGTAAAGGACGCTATTTCTTTTGTTCGTTTTAGCAGAAGCTGCTAGCTGATTTTGCAGCTGGGGAGGGAAGAAGGGCCGGGCGTGCAGGCGGCCCGGCCGGGCTCCCCTCCGGGAGCCGGGTACCACTGACACGTGAGGTGGGATCCTGTTTTCACACACGAAGGGGAGCACTTGTATTAGCCGCGGAGAAAGTCTATTTAAATTTCGGAGCGGTATTTGGTTACTCGATTTGGATGGCAACAAAGAGCTAACGTTAGGCTTCACGCTGGTTTCTATTAAAAGGCAACCTTTGCGGGTTGCTGCCTCCGAAAAGCTGGGGGTTAGGCTGGAGGAGTAACGTGTGGTCGGAGGGACAGGCAAAATGTGCCCGTTCCGTGGACTTGTTATGCACAAAAAGTGAGGCCATGGGCGCTCCCCCCTCCTCCCCTCCGCCCCCTCCCCCGCCCCCGAGAAACTGAATCCTTTGAATGTATTTAGGAATTTCAGGGTTGTGAGTCTCTGAGATAGCAAGAGGTAGATAATAAGTGAGAGGGTTTGCGCTAAGGGTTATATTGTTACACGTGTAAATAATGAAAATATTGTTATATATCGCCAGATCTCTTAATGAATTTAGTAATTGTATTCATTTATAATATCAGTGTTCTGTGCTTGGCAATAGAGTCGGCATCGTTTTCCTTACTCTTTTTCTTTCTTTCTTTTTTTTTTTTTTTTTTTTTTTTTCCCATGCGTAAAGGAAAGCCAAGTGTTTTACTAAGTTACGTTTGATCAGACTGGGTAATCCCGAGATGTGATTATTTATAGGTTCCATTTTCATATCCTGCGGTCCTCTATTACACCCCAGTCTTCTCACTCACATCCCATCCTTCCCCCGTCTAGTCTGTACACAATAAATCATTTTCAGGTGTATTTAAAATAGTCATGTCACGGCTGTTGGTCTGCGTATTTTCCGAAATTTAGCAGAGAGCTCTACTTTGGTTTAAAAACGCAGCAGTTCCGATCGGAAAGTGATCTTTACAGAATCCTTATGCTTTAATGTAGTGACTCGTGTTTGCACATTACAATGCTCATAACTTGTTTTGTATGAATGGTTTTAAATGGAACGTTTAGAGAATAATAGGTTCTAATATGAAATGCAGTATATACTATTGATAATTTTATCAATAAGTGTGCTATTTTAAATAACTTTAACAATTAAATTTGGGTTTTTTTAAATTATATATTTGTAAAATATTTATCCTGTTGAAAGCAACAATACATTGTTGTATTTATTCGTTTATTTTTGTAATAAATGATCAACATCTTCAAGCTACAGCAAAATCGATACTTCCATATATTTATACAGGGATACCTTTTTGAAGCGCAGAGATGCACATTCCGATTTGGAAGCGAGTATAAAAATAAAAATCACCTCTGTAACTGGCAAGCTGCAGGACCAAACTGTAGGCGTGAGCTTCTTCGCCACATGTACTTTAGTTTGCTTAAGTTCCAGGGTAATTAATCAAACTCTAAAAGGGATGCAACAAGTCCCGACCTCGGAGGCAGGCGTGGGGCGAGCGCTTGAGGACAGGGACTCATTTTGCTAATGCCAGGGTTGGCGAGGAGCTTGGTCGCCTCTGGCGAGAGGGATGGGTGGCTGGATGGAGCGATCGGAGGAGATGCAGGGAGGTGATTATTGCCCCATCGGTGTTTTCAGTTGCAGTTTGGCACAATGGAGCGGGCGCAGCCTTCAATAGGCGGCGGGAGCGAGGGGAAAGGAGGGCGGCGAGCGGCCCCGCAGTGTCAATGACACAGCAGTAGGGAGTTCTTTGGTTGAGAGGCTTTGGCGACACAAAAAGCTAAAGGGTGAAGGCCGAACGGGGGAAGGCTCGCCGCCCATCCCGTCCTGCCCGACACCAAAGGAGCAGCCGGGTCCGCGGTGGTGCCCACGGGGCCTCGCCCTCGGGGCTGCGCCGGGACTCGCGTCCCCGGCAGCCCTCCCCAGCCCGGATGGCTGCGGCGGGGTCCGGGCCGCCCCACGCACGGGGAAGCGGTGATGCCGCGTTCCCCAATCGTGGAAGGCCGGACCGGGGCAGCGCCGACGGGGCGGCCGCCGTTGCCCGTCTGCCTGCCCTGTGTCCCCGCGGGCCGGCCCGGGGCGGCGGGCGGCCCGGGGGAGCCGGCGGGCGGGCGGCGCGGTGCCGCGGCGGCAGCTGCCGCGGGTCCCACAAGTTGTTTTCCTCGTGGCGACCATTCAGCAAAACGCAGGATCCTTTCTCCAAGATTTAAATTTCGCGGATGAATTACCATACAGCGGTTGCTTAGCAACTAAATTCAAGCCGGGCTAAGAATATGCAAGCTTTTTGTATTCTCATTAATAAAAATGCCACTCTGACACAGCAACCTGACTTTGGATCACTGCAACTTCTGTAAAAGCCATAGGAGAATACAAACCGGCTCCTCCATTTAATTACAGATCAGAGTGGCTTGAAATGTGATGTTTTGTTAATCTATCTTCCTAAAAGCGATGTAAAAAATAACGGCTTTTCAAGAGCAGTGGAAAACTACTTTTTTAATGGAGCTGTCTCCTGGTGCTACTGATGGCTGCAAAGCAAAACCTTTTTTTTTTTTTTTTGAGTCACACTTTCAAGTAGCATTCCCCCCTTCCGTTTTGAGTTTCCTGAAATTAAAGAAAAAAAAATTAAGACATTTGGAGCCACAGGGGAAAAAAATAAAAATAAATAAGCTGCAGACGATTAGCGCATTAGAGAGGAGAGCATTGCTCGGAAAAGGGAAGAAGGGATTAAAAATGTCAAGGTGCAGCCCCTGCCAGGCACAGACCCACGATGCAGGGTGCAGTCTGTCCTTGCTCTGAAGCAGGAGTCTCTTGTGCAGAAATGGCTCTCTTTGGCATAAAGTGCGTGGGTACATCGGCTGGGGAGGGCGGGGGAAAAGCCTTCAGGGACACCTTGTTGAATGTTTCTCTCCAAAATTTATTTCCCCTTCTGCTAACATTTACTTTATATTGCTTTTAGATCGGCAGAGATAAGATCTTGGCGTTAGATTCTGGCATCTTACACCCAATCTCATATATATGGGAGAATGACCTCATCAGAGGAGGACTGTGTGTATAGATAGAATAATTTAAACATAGACTAGACACCTACATATAAATCTATATATAAAGACGTGTGTATATGATATATATATATATATATATACATATATATATATATATATATGTTTGTGTGTGTATTTGCCTTTAGCAGCACCAAAAAACTTCCCTGCCAGTCCCACAGCCCCCAGGCACGGCTGCCTTCTCGCGCAGCGTTCGGAGAGAGGGCGGCCCCCTTGGCGGGGCAGCGAGGGGGGCTCTGGGGCAGGGCAGCACGCAGGGTGCGGGCAGACAGGGCTGGCACTGCCTCTCCCTGCCAGCCACCGCCGTTATGTGGCGGGAGGGCACCTGCTGCCGGGGACGCCGGGCACTTTTGCTGATGGCTGGGGGCTTGGGCTGTGGTGATTTTTGAGCGACAAAGAGTTAAATCCAAACTTTCTTCTCCCTTGTCGCCCCCTTCCCCGAGGTTGTTAAAATTGAGCCTGAATTGTATAAACCCCAATCCACGTCAAAAGTTCAGGTATGTGGGGTTTTCCTTCCGTCGGGGCTTGTCTGCAGGAGGCGGAGGGGATCTTGGAGGGCTGTCCGAGCTGTGCAGGACACTGAGGAATCAGGGGTTCTCCTCCTTCCCTCCACTCCCGCTTCTCTCTTTCTCTTTTAAGGTTTTCTTTTCCCCCTTGAAAGGGGGACGATGACTTAAAGGAGGGCAGTCGAAATGGGTAGGCATTTTCCAAACGTGAGCTTGTGATGGAGGGAGTTCTCTCTCTCAGCAGGATTGAGTCTGTACTCACTTTAAAACGTAGAACAGCAGACAAAAAAAAAAAAAAAATCCTATATAACAAAAACTAAGGGAAGAAAGGCAGTGAAGTGAGAACCTGTGAAGACTAGAGTCCCCCTGAAACTCAGGCTCACCCAAAGCTTTAGCAGAGTGTTTTCCTTCTCTCCCCAACAGTTTTAGGATGATCATCACAAGGCTATAGCACAAATAATCAGGTTCCATTCCATTTTGCATCTCTCTTTAACAAAGTTGAGATTAAAAGCCAAAATTTGAGCACAGCCCTTACAGAGCTGTCGAATAGTGCCAGTACATACGTTTCCCACTCACATGTTGAAAACTGTACCTTCAAACATAGGCTTGTTTCTGATAGCTTGCATTTTTTTCAACTACAAGGGGAAAAAAGGCTAAACAGAACTTTTCTGAATTGTCCCTATTGTGCCTATCCGTGGGTGAAAAGACAGCATTACATCAGCTTTGCACCTTCAACATAAACAGGGAAGGTTTAGCAAGACAAGCTCACAGCATACCACAATGGAGATTTTATTTTAGACCTGGGACAGTTCAAACCAGTTTGACACCAGTATTGAGCACCACAAAGTATGTGGTTTGGAACAAACTTTCCTTCATATAGTGTGAAGTGGATTATCAGGCTTGATGCCAGATGCTTAGTTACTTCAAGTGTCCCCTCGCTGCCTTTCTTGCAAGGTACAGGATACAGAGGAGAGTTTCCATCTGCAGGGACAGTGCTTTCATATCAGACCACTGCGCCATGCCCTCTAAAGTCCAGGCATGGGGTTCCAGCAGAACTATTTCTTCCTCAAAAGGAGCCTAAGATGAGAAGGGGGAAACGAATTAGAAATGGGGAGCCAGCTGGGGACTGTTACTTTCCCTGGTAGTAGGCCTGCTCTTAAAGCACAATGTCAAGGCACTGCAATACACACATGAAATGACAAAGAGAGATGCTGTTTTCTTCCTGAGGTCTACACTGAGTGGAGAAAGTCAAAGGGTTGTTGACTGTCTTGCGTATGGGGCCATTCTTTCAAGCTGAAATGAATTGATTTTAAAAATCAGGGACTGGCTAATGGGAAACCGGGTATGTCTGCTGTATTTATATGCATCAAACCAAAATTTAAACAACTTGAGGGAATGTGGGCTGTATAAACATTTTATATATAGTAACCTTTTTGTTATTGGTTTTGGAAATACATGGAGCTACTTCCCTGCCACCACTCCATACAGCTGACTAGACAGCATTCAGTCCACACTACAGTCAAGCAGGAACTGTTTGCTCAACAACTTCAGGTTTCATTTTCAACTGGAGTACTAATGTACACCTGGAGCTTGTCACATAAATCCTGATTGCCTGATGTATGTACACCTTTTCACCAAGCAGGCAGATAAAATACAAAAACTAACTGCATGACTGTAGAGTTTTGGGCTGGAGACTCTTCTGAACAGTTTGGCTTGGTTGTTTGGATTTTTCCTCCATATGAGTGCTCATGAGGATCCTCTGAAGCTGAGATTGGGTTCATCTCTTCACCTCCCTCCACATTCAAAATATTACAAATATTTACCAAGTACAAAAGATATGAGAAGTGCTGGGCATTGATCATTATTATATCCCTTTACTGACAGAAAATGGGCCCGGGATAGGAGCGATAAAATTAATCTTTCTAGGAAAAAAAAAAAAAAAAAAAAGAGTTGATAAAGAATTGTTCTGGAATAACATACATTTCTTTCATCATCTGGAGCTCTCATTCGAAACAGGGGTCTGTCTGCCTAAGTGGAACATTTTTCAGAGAAATCTAATAGATATTTGTTTCAGAGACTCCACACTAAAGCTACAGATCAAATGTAACGTGCAAATCTCTCCATTTGTTTCTCACTCTCTCTCACATGTATGCATACACACACACACCCGCAAACATGCACTCCCTCCTCTTCTTAAAATAATAAAACATCCTCTCTCCAGTTCTCTCACCTTCTCTATTTTATGCAGATCCATACTCTGATGTGTACCAAAATTTCAAACTCAGTTTGCTGAAATTGCATAGAATGTCGAGGAAATTAAACTAAACAAGGAGCTATGTGAAATGTTGAACTTTAAATACCATCCGCTACCTCAAGAAGAAGAAAATTAGTCAATAGATGCTCAGGTTTCTGCTACTTTTAAATTATCATAATTAAAATAATAATTTTATTAGTTTCTTTATTTTTTTTATCCTGATGAGAATTCCCTCGTGCTAATACGTGGGTATTGGAAAATAATGCCTTTCCCTTTTGATTTGGTACTGAAGGACAGGGTTACAGCGTCTCCCCTAAGTGTTAATGCTGTATAGAGATGTGTTTAATTTTATGAACAGTGTGTGTGTTTCTGTGAATACCAGGCAAGACTACTACATCGTTCTCAGTAGCCCAGAAGAATCATGTTTTACCTGAAGAACTGGGCTTGGGCTGGATGCTGCTGTTGTTCTGGGCTTGGTTTTTAATTGTCCTGCCTATTCTCTCAAGTCAATATTAATGCCATACAGCACGGCTGAGGCCAGGGCTGAGTGAGCCCCGTCATTAACAATAGCATAAACAAAGGAAGGGGACCAGTTACCTTGACATTCGATGCCCGCTTTGTTCCCAAGCTTCCAACTGCATCCTGAAGCCCATACAGGGAAGTATTGCCTACGGGAATGAATAATCCACTCCAGCTATTGTCCCAATCTCCTGCAAAACAAAACAACACAACCAAAACAAAGATGACAACACACCCCCGCTCCGCAAGGAGTCTGCGAATGGTTTCATCCCTTCCTGCCTTTCCCCGCGCTTTCCCTGGCCACTCGTGTTACTGACTTGCTCCCCAAAAGCGCTGCCCGCAGGCGCATCCTAATTTGCGCAAGCACTCCAGGCTCCTATTCCCCAGGTTTCTGGGGGCGCGGGGTTGGAGACACCCCGTCCTGTGCCTGCGCAGCCCGGCCGGATCCCTGGTGCGGCCAGGCCACCCTCGGGGAGCTCGGCGTCGGACGGGGCGGCCCGGCGGGTGGGATGCCCCCCGGCCGCGCCCGCCCCCGGCCCGGCAGCACGCAGGGATTCCCTCTGCGGCGGCGTGGACTGGCCAAGGGGCAGTGCGGCATCTCCACGCACTGCTGTGGAGATGCGAGGGACGAAAGTGACCCTCTGTGTGTCTGTGTGTATCCCCATTGCTATTCCAGCTTCTCTCTCCCTGGCCGGTTTTCCGACCGCCCGACCTTGCCCTCCTTGTCCGGGAGCCTCGGCTCCATAGCCCCTCTGTGTTTGGCAGAAAAGCCCGGAGGGGCCTCCCCTGCTCACGCCCAGTCCAAGGAGCCTGCATGGAGAAGGAACATCTCTTTCCTCTGAGAGAGGAAATTAAGTTCCCCGAACTCAGTTTTTCTTCCCCTTCTCCTACAGTCCCATGCTGGCCGTCGGAGCAGAGGGACGGGCAGAAGTCCCCCTAAGCTTGTGGATGGCTGGTTTGACCCCCTCCTCCTCGCGGAGGGGGGCATGGGCCAGACCACGGCAGCGCTGCTGTGGGGCTCGTCCCTGGGCCGGCCCCACTTCGGAGGCGGGTTTTGCTCCCGCTGCGCTCACAGGGGAGCCAGTTCAAGCTCCAGGAATCCTGTGCCTTCACCGGGTTCTCCGGGAGAAGATGAAGGAGACTTGGTAGCGTAGCCCGAGGTAGAGGGAGGCCTGAGGAGACATTTACATCGATCCTATGCAGCCAAATCCATCCTCTCATCGTGCCTCTGTGTGGGGAGGGGAGAGGCATACAGCGGGTAGAGAACGAGGTAGTTTGAACCTAAAGCCCTTGCTTCAAAGGTTAATAGCTCCCTCGTCAAACGCTGCCAAACGCTACTGGGCCGAAGAGAGGGGAGAAGAGGGGGGAAAAGGAACATCAACACTACTACAAATTTCAAAGCACTGAAAATAGCTCTGAGAAATCCTGAGGATCCGCCACCGGTCCTTTTCTTTTTTTTTCCCCGGGACATAGGCATTAGGGAAAGCTTTTCTCGGATATGTTTGTGAGCAAGGCCAGTGGGAGCTGCGGCTGCCTTTGGGGGCGAGCCGGGTGGCAGGGAGGGGGGCTGCGGGCCGGCGCCGCCCCCGCCTCCCCCCCATCCCCCGCACCTGCAGCCTCTGGCTGCGCTGGGGACCCTGCTGCTGCCGGCTCTGTGACCATCCCCCCGGGCCGTGTCGGGAGCAAACCCACTCCCAAATCCTCCCCCCACCCCCGGCCCCCGGGCCGTGTTCCCACCGGGAGCCGCGGCGGCCGGGCAGGGGCCGGCCCCGGCAGCCCTTTATGCGCAGCGGTCAGCAGCCGGGTTGTGAATTTGCAGCTGCATGCAAATAAATCCCCGGCAATAATCTAATACGGGTGCTGCCTCGACGACAAAGTGCCGACACAAATGCAAGAGCTATTGTTTGGTTTTGACCACCTCAGTCTTGCATCCAAGGAAAATAAATAAAACTAGGGAAGGAGAGGGAGAAAGTTGGTTAATATGGGTGTTTCATCCAACGAAACCTGCTTTTGTGATATACGAGAACTGAAGATTTGCACCTCTACGAGACCTGCATCACCACCCATCTCAGCTGGAGAAAACGATTCCACCCGTGATGAGCAGGAACGAGGTGTCCTGTCTACTCGACCGACCTTAGCTGTTAGGTTCACACGTGGAAAATGCATCTCTTCCCACAATTTTCAATTACTTACACCTGCATTCGATATAGGAAGGGGGATGGGGTGGACAATTTTTACACTATTTTCTATTGCAGGTAAAAGGGGTTTTGTTTGTTTTACTTGTCTCCAAGGAAGGAACGTTTGCACATATAGGGTAGAGTGGTTTGGTTTTTCCCTGTTCATCTTCAGCAAAAGCTGAGTAGAGTCAATAGGATGAAGGAAGGAGAATTTAAAGAAAAAAAAAAAAAAAAAGGAGGAAGGGGGGAGTCTTTGAGAAAGAGCTGGAGCGAGGAAAGGAAAAAAAAAAATCAAACCGCAAAAAAATCCCAGTAACACAATTCCAGAGAGGATGGGAGGGAATAGAGTTTCCCAATTGCCTTTCTGCGGACTGGCTTTAAAAAAAAAAAAAAGTCACATTGAAGGCTGGGGCGGGGGAGAGCTTTAGTTTTGCGAAGTGTAAATCTCTAAGGACAAGCAGTACTTGATGATGCCTGGTGCCGCCCGGGACGGCTCACCCCCAAGGGCGACCGGAGGCCAAGGGGTAGGCAGGGCAAGGGTGAGGCGTCCAGCCCGGGAAGAACAGCCAGTTCTCCCTTTCTCCCCCCCAACTTTTGTGAAGAGGGATCTTTATCATTGTGGAAGATCCCGTTTCCCTGGCAAAATACGGAAAGTTTGTCTTCAGCCCCTCCCCGCCACCAGTTCCCACCGGACGTGCGGGCAGCCGGGGCGCTGTCCCCGGCTCAGCCAGGTCGACCCCAGCCTTCGCCTGGTCCACCTGAGCCAGTGCCCACCCCGCTTTCGCATTCCACCCCTCGTGGAGGGGATGCTCCCCTGCAGCCGCCGTGCTGGGCACACACGGGCCACCCTGTGACCAGCTGGCCAAACAGGGGCCCTCGGGTCTCCCCTGGGCACATCGATCCTGGGAGAGTTCCCAGGCTTTGCCCGGCTGTCTCAACGCCTCTCCCTGGCCTTGCTCGTCCGCCGCTTTCCCCGCTGAGCCCGCCCGGCACCCCTAGCACCCAGGTCCCGCAGGCGGCGGGGCGGCCGGGGAGCGTCACGGCAGAGAATAGCCCTCCCCTTGGCGTCTCGGCTGCCTGTGTGCGCGACCCGGCTTTTCCTGCCCTCGGCCCTGCGGCCGCCCCTCTGGCCTCCCTAGCATTGCATTCACAGAGCCTGGCCCAGCTGTCGCTTGTCCCCTCGGGGAGCTATTTTCTTCTCTTTCCCCGCTTCCCTCTCCCCAGATGCTCCTGGAAGCGGGATGCAGTCGCCCCCCCGCGAGAGGAGTCTGTGGACCCCTTCGGCCTCGCTGCCCACCGCTGCCTCCTTTTCTCTGCCGCCAACACAAAAGCCCTGACTAAAGCGGCCAAGCAGAGACTGCACAGCAAAGCCCACACCCGCTGCCCTCCCCGTAATGAGAACTGAGAGAAATCTCCCAGTGGGGCTGGGCTCCTAAATCCCAGAATCTCTTAAGCTTTACCGCTTTTGGTAGGAGGAAGAGGAGTTTGCCACCTAAGTTGCTCCTCGCACCTTTGTGTGACCTGACGCGGGCACTGGGACAACATTACGCCGGTTTCTGCAACCCAAGAGATCTCTGAGCAAGGGGGGAGTGGGCAGGGAAGAGTCTCTGGATCACCCCTTTGCCTACACCCCATGCACAGCTTTCTCGCCTTCGTCTTTGAAATTGTGTTTGAAACAGCAGCTGAAACACAATTAATTGTAACTGATTAACATGGATCAGTTTCGCCTCCAAAGCACTCTAAGTCAATGCAGCAGCCATAATAATAATTAATTCATTAATAAGTACTATTGGTGCTTCGTCACTAACGCCAAGAAAAGTTTCCCTGAGAAGTACAGGTGGCAGGGAGTGTTAAAATGAAAACATTTGCATGCAACTTTTTAACCAGAAGGGAAAGCACTTTGGTTATATTTGGAGACATGTGTCTCACACATTTCCCCCTTTTTTTGTAAACTATGTAAGAATAAACATTACAGCTCTGGGCTTTTAATTTCTCCAGATGGAATCATAAAGTACCTAGTAGATTTATATATATATATATATATATATATATACATATATATATACTATACAATTGAGGACACATGTCTGCTTTTCCCAGTGAGGACCGAGAAGCAACTTAATTTGAAGGTATAACTACTGAACCACATTTTGAATAACACACTCGAACAAGTTCACTTTAAAAGGCAGGAAACCACTAAGAGCAGAGCACTGAAAGTTGCTCCTTCCCATTTGAGCTGCAGTGGAAGCTCACTAGGCTGACCTTCACACACACTGTGCTGTTTCGCACACACGTACAGAAGTACACAGGCGTGGAGGTGGCAGGGTGCCTAGCTGTGCAGGGGGCATTTCCAAAGGCACTCGCATCCCCGGAAGGCTCCCCCCGCTCTCAGTAGGCTGAAGAGACTGCCCGGGATCCCACCCCCGGCGCGACGGAGGAGTCCTCTGATCCGCGGGTGACGTGAGAGGTCTCCTCCTGTCCCCCCGGCTGAAGCAAAGGGTTCACTTACCCTCCCGGCGCTCCTCTCCGCTCCTCACACGCACACGCGCGCCCAGCAAAGCACTCTCGTGCAGGGCAAAAAGAGGGAGGAAGTCTGGAAACCTCACTGATCTTAATGATCCAGCGTGCTGGGGGGATCTGGAGCCCCTAGGCTGGGCGAAAAAGAATAATAATAAAAAATTGTTTTAAACTGTTTTTTTTTTAAAACCAAGGACAGGGTTTTGTTTGCTTTTTTGGGTTTTTGGGGGGGAGGGGGGGATGTTGGTGATGGAAATTACCAAAATACCCCAATCATCTCCCTAAATAGGCTCAGTCTCCCCGTTCCGTCTCCCCAGCTCTCTGCCCCCTCCCCCTTTCTGACTTACATGTGTTTAGAGCAATGGCAAGGAGCTCCCAACCGGAGCCCTGGCAGAGGATGCATTTAAAGTGGGGATGATTTACTCCTCCAGAGCTCGGGTCCCGCGTGTGAGTCTCCAGCCCCGTGTCAGCTGGGCACTGCAGACAAACAGCCTTAAATATGCATAAGGAGCAGTTCGCTTTCTTAAAGGAGAACATACCCCACCGGAAAGTTCACGGCCCGATGGCAGGCACGGGAGGAGGGTGCGGCGATGGCCTTGGCGCCGGGACAGCCCTAGCCCCTTCTTAAGGTGATCGCCTACGCGCTCAGCGGCGGGGCTGGGGAAACTCAGCCGCCTTTCGGCTGGGCACCGGGCAGATAAGCGCTGACTAGTCGGTAGTTTACTTAGTGAGTGGAGGACCAGCAGTTTCACACACCGTCCTATTCCTCCTGTCCTCGGCCGGGACGGGTGAGGGGCAGAGCGGACCCCCGTAGCAGGCGCTGACAGAAAACTTGCGGGGTTCTACACCGAGGGGAAACGCGGAACTCCAAAAGAGAGGAAAAAAAAAAAAGCGTACGGGGAAAAGAGTGGGACAGATTAAACACCCAGTCATCAGAGCCCAAGCAGGCTATGTACATTGCATGATCAGCT